CTTGAATAGACAAAGCAATCCTCGGAAAAAGTAACAAAACTAGAGGCATCACATTCCCTAATTTCAAGCTATATTACAAAGCTGTAGTAATCAAAACAGTATGGTACTGGCACAACAATAGATACACAGACCAATGGAACAAATTGAGAGACCAGAAATAAATCTTCACATGCATGATCAACTAATATTTGCCAAGGGAGCTGAGAACACTCAATAGGGAAAGAATAGTTTCTTCAATAAATGGTGTTGGGAAAGCTGAATAATCACATAAGAAAGAATGAATCTGGGCCCCTATCTCACCCCACTCACAAAAATTACCTCAAAATTGATTCAGCACTTAAACATAAAACCCCGAACTGTGAAGTTCCTAAAAGAAAACATAGGCAAAATGTTTGTTGACATAGATCTTGGCAATGATTTTTTTGGATATGACACCAAAAGCACAAGCAACAAAAGCAAAAATCAAGCAGGCCTGCATCAGATTTAAATGTTTTTGTATAGCAAAATAAATAATTAATAAAATAAAAAGGCAACCTATGGAATAGGAGAAAGTATTTACAAACCATATATCTGATAAGGGGTTAATATCCATCAATACTCAAACTATATTAAGAACTCATAAAATTCAGTTACCAAAACAAAAAATCTCATTTAAAAAAGACAGAGGAAATAAATAGACATTTTTACAAAGAAGACAAACAAATGGCCAAGAGGTACATACAAAGAAGCTCAAGAGCACTATTTGTTTTGAAATACAAACCAAAACCACAATGAGATTTCACTTCATAACTGTTAGAATGTCTGCCACCAAAAAGTCAAGAGATATGTGGCATTGAGGATGAAGAGAAAAGGAAACACTTGTGCACTGTTAATGGAAATGTAAATTATTTCAGCCACTATGGAAAACAGCATGGAGATTCTGCAAAAACTGAAAACAGAAGTGCCATATGATCCCGCAATCCTACTTCTGAGTATATATTCAAATGAAATGAAATCAGGATGTGGAGAAAGTACCTGCACTCCCTTGTTTATTGCAGCATTACTCACACTGGCCAAATATTGAAACAGCATGAGGATCCATCCACAGATGAAGAAGATGTCACATACACACATACACACACATGAATATCATTCAGACATGAGAATAAAGGAAAGCAATCCTGAGAAAAAAGGAAATCAAGCCTGTCATTTGCAACAGTATGAATGGACTTGAGGATATTAAGCTAAGTGAAATATGTCAGAGAAAGACATTGTATGATATTGCTTAGATTTGGAATCTAAAAAAAGCCAAAGATTCACAGAGTAGAATGGCTGTTGCCAGGGACTGTAGCATGGGGAAATTTGGAATACATTGGTCGAAGTGTGCAAGCTTGCAGTTAAATAAATACGTACGTTCTAGGAATCTAATGCACAGCACTGTGATTATAATTAACAATACTGTATTATGTACTTGAGAGTTGTGCCTTATGCGATTATGCCTTAAATGTTCTCACCACAAAAAACAAATGATAATTATGTGATGTAATGAGCTACCTAATGCTATAATGGAAAATTTAATAGTAGGAGAGAGCTTACATTTGGTGCCAAATAAGGTAAAGGTCATCAGCAAAAGTAAGGAGGTAGAGCTAAACATGGATATTCAGAAAATAATGAACAGATGCATCGGGTACAAACACTTGGGTTTATGTTGGAGACTATTAGAAGTTAAGGTCTGGCCAGTAGTTCAGAGGCAGATCTTGAAAAGTCTTGAATACCAGGTTCCAAAGTAGGCAAATGGTGCGACTGAAGTTTTTGAACCCATGTAACCTGAACAGTGGGAATAGAAGTGGGTTTAGAGATTATCATCTAATAAATAAGTTTTGTGGTATGTCTAACTAGGAACAGACTTCATGTCAAGTGCTACCAGGAATTCACCATTTTTGCCAGTCTCTGCATTGTGTCAAGGGCAGAGGGTCTACTTCCCATACAGTCAATGGTTTGATGTATATGTGATGTACATATGTTTGTATACTGGTGCTGGGCTGTAGATTTCACATAGCTCCTGGTAAATTCAATGCTGCCACTCACGGGTGTCTAGATATTTGGTCCTAAAACCCAGGGAGACAGCCCTCTTTATCTTCTGCTTCCTGAGTCATCCTGAGTTATCTTGCAACACACTTTATGTGCGGGTGTTCATGAGTGTTATTAAGTGTTATAGGGCAGCCTACTTACAGACTGGACGACACAGGTGCATAGCCCCTTGGTGCCTGAATTTCATATCAAGCTACCTCAAACTCTCCAAAGGATTTCCTTGTACTTGATCCAAACATTGCTGTTAATCTTTTAAAGCACCTCCCTTTATTTTTTTCAGCAAAATTTTAAGTTTTATTTTGAATACATGGGTATTTAGTGAAGTGCCTCTTTATTTGTAAAAATATTTTATTGCTATTCTATTATACTTGTCCCGCTTCTCCCCGCTTTGCTCTTCTCTGCCCAGCCCTTGCTCTGCTCCCACAGTCACTCCTCACCCTGTACCTCCCTTTAAATCCTGACCATTTTTATCCAAATTTAAACTCTTCGCTTCTTTAAAATTTATCTGTTGGTTTTCTCTTTACCCTAGGTTCTTAAGTATGACATTAACCAATTTTGCGAATTTATAGGCAGTTTACTTGACCTTCTTAGGTTTTTTCCAGCTGAGTTGGATTGAATAACCTTGACCTGTCCTTTCAGTAGAAACTGTATGTAAAATCTCTTTGTGAATTATTGGGTACCCCAAAGATAAGAGATAACTATTATTTCTGTTTTTTTTTTAATTTTATTTCTGGATTCCCTGCAACTGCCTCTAATACCCCTACATTGTGCACTTTCAGGACAAGTTTTCCATTGCAGTTTATGAAAAAGAAGACAATGAGAGTACTACAAATTTTAACAGCTTCTGGAACAGTGTCTGTATATGTGTTTCTTTTTTTTCTTATTCTCTCTCCATATTCTCTATATATAAAGGAAACAGAAACTGAGATCCATCTCTCTGAGATTTTAGAACATGAATGATGTGGCTATGAATGATCAATAACAGCCATTCAAATTTCACTGGCTTTTGTCCCACTTATTCTGTTAGGGTCCTAAACTCTTTCAATCCATCTCCCCGCTAACATCTTAAGTATTCCTGGAAGTCTCTAGTCAGATAACACAATGTTGATATCTGCCTTTTATTTTCCTTTTTTCTACTGAGTCCCACTTCATCTAGTTATGATTCTGCTCCCCAGACATCATTATACCCACCAGGTTCCACCCTGGTTTACTATAGTTTAACCACTGGAGCCTGGGAGATGTCAAGGCCGCATGGCAGACTGCTGTGAAGTGGGAAGACATGCTTCACTCCCCTTTCCGTGCAGCAATGGAGATGCTGCTGACATGTGCTAAATGGCACAGCGTCTTCGGTGAAAGTGGTCTTTCATTTTGTAGTTATGTTTCACATCCTCAGTTTCAAATATTAATTCAAGGGATGACTTGGCTGGGAGACAAATTGAAGTAACAAACTAAGACCAGATCAGAAATTTCCATTCCCTTCTGAGGACTTCATAGTGAAGCTTGAAGTACCTGCATTCTTTTCCCCATAACATGGTTTTCTCTCAGGATGTGTTTTAGTCTTCTAATGGGAGATCCAGAAGTTCAGTTTGTCAGATGTGCCCAATATATATAAAAGGTAAATAAAAATTATATTCTTAACCTCTGTCACTAGAAAGCCATAGGAGATGAAGCTGTCTTTAGGAAAAACACCCCAAGTGCCTGAAGGAGGTGGAACCTGAGACCCAAAGGCCTGGAAGTTGGCTATAACCAAGATACTTTGTTGTTAGAGGGTGAGGGTGAAGAGGAGAGAAATAATGAGAGAGATTCCATGGGGAGGAGGGGGGACTGCGTCTTACAAGGAAAAGGGTATGAGAGAAGCCTGTGGGATTGAAGAGATGTAAAAGGACTTCTAAAGAACAAGAAAGTCCTATAAGTGATTTTAATTGATTACTATGTGGTTCCTATATTCTTATCCATTTAGGAAGGGCTTTGAACCATCACAGAGGAAGAAAAAGAAGAATATAAAGAATTTATGCCAATGTCATTCAGATTTTATGAAATAAGAAGAGCTCCCAGATAACATCTTGGTTATATATGGAAGAAAATCAGCTAAGCCTCAATCTGGGAATCTTTTCAGAAAGTTCATTCTAAACCATAGTACAATAGAAGGGCAAGAATCCTGCCAATGGAAACCATATGCAATTGACCCAGTTAAGTTGCCAATATTTGGAGACATTCTAGGATGAACCTAGACTGGGTAAGTAGTTTCCTATTCTGGGGAGAATATAATGCTTTAACAAATGGAAATGAAAGAAGAGTTAAGTTTTGACTTGAGTTTTAAAGGAATAAAGGCACATTATTTGGAAGGGAAACAAATAAGAAAAGCCATGTCATTGGATAAAGGTCCAGATGCACCAGAAAGGAAGAAAGATGGCCAGACATTTTCTTGACTACATTTAGAAAAATTAATTAATTGAAGCCTTAGCACAAGGAACCCTCAGGGTGTGAGCAATACTTTCTTGTGGGAGAGCTATTCCTGTTTATATTAACATGTGAAGTAATTTGAAGTCATGAAAAGTATAAAATAAATATGATGTGTGGACATCATGATTTGGGCTCTCTTGGGTAGAATACACTTGTAAAACTCCAGAGATCGAGAAGACTAAGGAGAGATGGGGAAACTGTAAGAAAGTTGGGACCAACCTGGGGACTATGGAAAGAAAAAAGAAAGAAGTGGCATAGAATAGAGAAAAGATTGATTGTTTACAGATGAATGGCTGTGGGAATGGAAGAGAATGAAGCTTGCTTGCATTTATGGCCCATTACTATCACATAAGGGACTGTCGAGACTAATGCTGGTTATTGGTACTAGTTGCATCCATACAAGCTTCCATTTGCTCAGGGGTCTTGTACCCAGTGTCTCATGTGGCCTGTAGGCACCAGTGGCTTACCTTTAAAACCTTTTTAAATTTAGGGTTGCTCAGCATTAATGAAGTGGAATGAATAGAGACTATAGCGTAGATGACAGCTTCCCCAGCCCAGAACCAGGAGGTCGTATCCCATAGGATGTGGAGAGTGGAGAAGATTATGCTCAGAAAGTAAGAGGTAAAAAGGATGGCGACGAAGGCAAGAAACCTCAGGGCAGTGGAGAGAGCTTTCATGCTGGAGTTGCTGTGGCCAGTGTTGTGATGTTGCATCTGCCCTGAGTGTTGGGACAATGAGACTATGAGCAGGATGGTGGAGGCCAGGAACAGGAGGAAAGGAATAGTCAGCATAACCATTTGCTGAGACACCTGCACATTTTCCACAAATGTCTTGAGTCTCTCAGTCACGGTGTTGTTTCCAGGGAACTGCATCATGAAGAATAACTGAATCTCGCTGTGATACCTAAAAGCTGAAAAAATGATTGTCACACAGGAAATCAGCAGGGATCCCAGCAACATCCAGGGAATTAACCTCAAAATTCTCCACCTCAGCCAGAGGAAGATGGGATGGGTGAAGGAAGAGATTTTGACACAGTAGACGAAGGCAAGCAAACTGGTTAACCAGAATGTAAGAGTATTAGTATATTCCCAGAAGATTGATACGTACCGAAGTACAAAGTTAGGGCTGAAATAGGAGCAAAAATTGTACAGTACTGATGACCACTGTAGACAGAAGCGACAGACACCCAGGCTGATGAAAATCATGTCCACAGGTGACAGTCTTTTGACCTGTACCCATTCTCTGCTCAGCACTGCAACAATTAGGCTACTCTGCAAAATTATTGTCAAGGACTCAAGAAAATAGATGACCATGAAGAAAACCGAGAGTTGGTTGGGTATCATCCTTCTATTCCAAAGTATCTTTCTATCTTCCTGCACACAGACTCAGAATTTCTGCAATAATTTCCAAGTAGGAAACTCATTCCAGGTCTCGCTATTGTTTTATGCAAGAAAATACGTCCCAGAGAATGCAAATTTTCATTGACTTTTTAAATTTTGCCATTTTCTTATCTTCAGCATTTGCTTATGCTTTGCTTGCTGGTTTGGATGCAGGGAAATGTTGTTTGAATGTGGATTCCTGCTTCTGAGTTAATTTGATTATTCCCAAAAAAGAAATACCTTTTCATAGCCATGGCATTTATTTCCTCATTTTCTCTGTGAGGTGATTTTAACTTATTTTCTCATCTTCTTTAAATGATGGCTTCATTCTTTTAACCTACAGCTTGAGCTGCAGAAAAGATTGCTCATTAATGTGCTGGGTAATATATGTATTCTGCTAGTTGAGTGCTGTGATCGTAACAATTCCAGAAACCCTGTCTCTCCAGCTTCCAGAGTAGTGGGGGGTCAATGCTACAACCAAAGTACATGTCAATAAAACAGTAATAAAGAAAAATCATTAGAGTGAGGTTCCACCCACAAAATTCTGGAAGCACAGACCTTAAAGTATCATCCTCCAATACAGACCATGTTCATAACTGCCTGTCGAATTCCTCAACCCAGAATACCTCCCCATTGTGCTCTCTACAGTCAAGGTGTGATATCCTTCCCTACTATTCTTTCAATTCCAAAACATTTACCTTTATATATCTTTGGAAATTGTTCTTGTTCCATTAACATCACCGTTTTGTTTTTTCCTTCTAACCTGGTTAGGCTCTTTCTGGTACTGCTCACATTTCTGAAGATGATATGAAAGAGGTACCATTTATCACTAGTAAAACAATTTTTAAATATTAAACCTGCTGAACGGAAAAGCCTGAAAGCCTTGCTCACTTTAAAAAAATTTTTTTTCCTTGAGATTCCCTTTCTCTGGCCGGTTTGTGGAGAGAAATGGAATCATTGATGGTGTTAACACCAAATGTCTCTGACTTTGGTGTAATCTGGTTCTGTTAAATTGGACTCCTCTGTGAAATACCCATTAGATAGTTCTGGAAGAATCTCCTGTGGGCTCACAAGGAAGTCTGACCCTAGTGAAGGCAGGATGATCTGATCTGTCAGGCACCTGCTGACAGTGCTGCACCTGTCAGCTGCTTCCCTGTCCAACAGTGTAACATGGCCTTTGCTGCACCATCCCCTTCATATGCTCATGCTGCTTAAAACTGCATCCCCACAGGCCCTGAACCCAAGCTACGCATCCGGGGGTCTGCAGTAAAGCAGACCTGTGTTCACACTCTGAGTTTTTTGAGGCCACTTGCCTCTCTACCCTTCGCAATCTCCCCAGAGGCAAATTGGGTTGGCATTTGCCCAAACAACTAAAATAGCACATTCATGAAGCAAAGTCTTTTTTTTGTCTTGGTTCTGGGACCACGTTTTTGAATGTCCAATGTTGCTTTTGTGGAAGTGAACTCTTACTGTGGGGCAGCTTGAAACATGACACTTGGAATTGAAAGGCTCAGAGGCAAAAAGGTCTCTATAAGCAAGAAACTTGTGCATTTATAGACTTCATGTGCCATTTGGACAAGGGAAAATCTACATATTACTTCTAAATGTCTAGAAATTAATTCATAGCTATCTAGGCAGACTAGAGAACAAATTCAGGAGTGAGTTCAGAAAAACTATACCAGGTAGAAACCAAATATTTAATTAGTGGCTTCAAAATAGAGAGGAGAATTCTAATAATTGTTACTTGGTGAAGAAGTCAGAGTCGTTGATGTTATATGTGATAAGCACCAAGTCTGTGTGGATTTTAATTATTTGAAAATAGAAGCAATGTAGCATAAAGTTTAGAATACTTGAACATAAAACAAGAAACCACTGGGCTCATGATGCAAAGGTAAACCACAGTTTTAAAAAAAATTACACTGGGAATCAGGATATTAGAAAGCATATGCTTTGCATTCTCAATAAAATTTAAGAATCAGGAAATTAAAAAATGAGATGACAAAACAATAGTTTGCAATTAAAAGGTGAATTGGTTGAAACATTTCCAGACATAATAAGAAGAGTGAAAGATAAGAAATAAGGGTAAGTAGGGAAATGAGCAATAATAGCATTGACACTTGCCTTTTTTCCTGGATACACCAAGCATGGTGCCTCCTAAATATACTGCCTCATTCTGAGAAACCCCACAAACCTTGTGATACTCCACACTTCTATCTGAGGGTCTTTGAAATGCAGTCCCCATGCTACAGCCCTCATGAATGGATACCAGGCAGAACAGTTTGACCAGGAATGAGCATCTGTGCAAAGTAGCCTCTCTTAGGCAGGCCTGCAGTCTGAGACATGGCCCAATATTACTCTACTCCACGGGGGCACTCTCTACGTGTTAGTGACCAATTACATAACCCAGATACTCTCTTTGGGAGAGTTTGAATGTGAGACATTCAGAGTGAGTCCCAAGACTGGTTGATAGTCTCTGGGGTTAGGAGTTCAAAGGAAGGCTCTTTTTTTGTGTGTGCACGTGAATCCTGTACAGCCATCTCCGGGGCCCCTCGATTCAGCACCTAGAACACTATAACACCCAGGAAGAACTTAGAAAATATCTCTGGAATGATTGATGAGAACAGGAAGAGCAGCCTAGAGAGGCATGTGTCCTACTATATTGCAAGTATAAGGGCTCTGAAAATCATAAAACAAGCATACTAGCATAGTCGAGAAATACTGTTATTACAGGTGATTATGTGTCATTCAAACAACAAAAATTGGCAAAGATGCTAAAATATAAGTGTTCTGAAACTGAAAACTTTTTTTAGGGAAAAACTTGTGTCCCGGGTATTTCCTTTGAACAAATGCATTGAATTGAATGAAGCAGATGGTGATTACAAATTTTTTCCATCACATGTGACACTGTAGAGAGTTTACTCCCATGATCTACACTGTGAACATGCATTATTGATCAGTATTTGGACCAATGGAACTAGTAAAATGGATCCCAAGTTAATAAAGCATGAATTCAACAATGTTCTCATTATGTCTTCATCACATGGTAACTTATTTACACTGTTGCAGGTAGAATAGCCCCCGGAATATTCTCATTCGAATCCCCCAAACCTATGGATATGTTACCTTACATGGCTAAAGAAACTTTGCAGATATGATTAAGTTAAGGATCTTGAGATGGGAAGATCATTCTGGGCTCAATGTAATCAAAAATGCCCTTTAGAAGAGAGAGGCAAGGAGGTGAGAGTCAGAGAGAAATGAAATAATGGAAGAAGAAATCAGTGTCATGAGCCAAGGAATTCAGGCAGTGCCCAAAAATGGGAAAAGGCAAGGAACAGATTCCAGAGAAGTGACACAGCTCTGCCAATACCTTGATTTAGGCCCATAAGACCCACTTAAGACTCTGACCTTCAGAATTTTAGGAGAATAAATAAATTTGGTATACATAAATACCCTCTTTCCTGTGGGGGATAGTTTCCAAGACTCTAGGTGAATGCCTGAGAAAGCAGATAATACTGGGCCCTATATATACTATTTTTCCCCCATATATATACATACTTAACAATAAAGTTTAACTTATAACTTAAGCACAGCAAATTATTAACAATAACTAAAAATAAAATAGATTATAACAATATACTATAATAAAAGTTATGGAGATCTCCTTCCCTCTCTCAGAGTATGCTAATAATGTACTGTAGTTACCCTTCTTCTTGTGATGATATAAGGCCTATCTACATGATGAGATGAAGCGAAGTGAATGACGTAGGAATGGTGATGCAGCGTTCAACTGCTATTGACCTTCTGACAATAATTCAGGAGGATCATCAAGCCATCATGACATCATGTCTTCCACCCACAAATTTAATGCCTTTTTCATTTTAACTAAGTATCATGCACTGTGGCTATAACTCTTTCAGTTTGAGGCACAACAGCAAAATAAGCAAACTCTTTCCTTCACAATTTCACAGATAGATTTGTTCTTACCATAGATTTTAGTAACTTCAGCATGCAATTTTTTTCATTACTTTGAGAACTTTCACCTTTTCATATAAAAGAAGTACTTTAAGGCTTTATATTCAATTTGGCAGCATTACTACTCTAGAACTTTGGAGCCACTATAAAATAAAAATAAGGTTCACTTGAACACAAGCAGGGCAATAGCACTCAGTTGATCTGCTAACCAATGCTGCGGCTCCTAGTAAGTGAAGGGCAGGAACATACACTGTAGATATGCAAAGGGATGAGTCACTTCCTGGGAGGACTGAGTGGGACATCGCAAGATTTTATCCAGTCACTCAGAATGGCATGCAATTTAAAACCTATGAATTGTTTATTTCAAGAATTTTACATTTACTCTTTTGGACAGCAATTTACTACAGGTAACTGAAGCCTTTTGGAAAGTGATATCACAACTAAGGGGGGACTACTATATATATACAGTGGAACATAACCCAGCTTTAAGAAAGAAGGAAATCCTATTCGTGACAACCTTGAGGACATTACGCTAAATGAAACAAGCAAGTCATAGTAGGTTGACTACTGGATGATTCCACTTATATGAGTTACCAAACATAGTAAAACTCATAGAAGCAGAGAATGCAATAGTGATTGTCAGGGGCTTAGTGGTGGAGTAAATGGGAAATTGTTATTCAGTGAGTATAAATTGTCAGTTATGCTAGATGAATAAGTTGTGGAGATCTGCTATAGAGCATAGTGCCTGTATTAACATATGGTGTTATATATTCAAAATTTACTAAGAGGGCAAATCGTATGCCAAGTATTTTAGCACAAAGACAAAACAAAACAAAAAAACAGGAACATGGGGAAACTCTGGGAGGTGTTGCATATATGTCTGTTACCTTGATTGTGTATTGCCAGTGTTTGTATATGTCTAAACTCATCACACTGCATACATTAAATGTGTGTAGCTCTTTTTTTTTATTAATTATACCTCAATAAAGCTT